GGTCAGGCTTGGGTTTCCGGGCCGACCCCGGGCCGGGTCCGAGCCGTGGGCTTTTTGGACAGCCCTACCTGCCACTACATGAAAATTCCAAAGTTGTGATGAGATTTGAGAGTTAAAAATCTATAGACTAACATATAGTTGTCTGAGCATTCGATTGTTTTTTGGCTTGCTGTTTGGCGATGACTTTTGACCTAGAACAGACATGTGCATTTGGGAAGTGGACTGGTGTTTGCTGCTGGTTAAAATGGAAGGCTTATTTGCTATGTCATTAAATAATCTTTAGGCATTTTCAGATCAAAGAATGAGCAAAATTGACTTGCGCATTGCTACAGTATTAGTGTGGAAATGTCAGAAAAAAGTAATTTAAGCAATTTGGTTTAAAACTACATTGTATATTAACCACTCAAAACAAAAAATACAGCAAGTTGCAATAAAAAATATAGCAACTTACCTTATGTACCAAAATTTTGAAATAGATAGTGGATTTAAAATTATTTGAATTTAAACTACATTTATATAGCAAAAAAATTAAAATATAATTAAAAACTATAACAACTCACCATGTTTATCAAACTGATAAAATGAAAATTAGTTTAAAATTAATTCGATGGGGTATTTTTTTATTTATAGAAGAAAATACCTTTGGTGAAGTGAGTGGGTTTAGAAATAAAGGCCTAAGATTTTGGTTTATAGGCTAAAAAACTCATTTACAATTTTCAATATCACGATATTAATGTGGAAAAAGCTAAAAATGACGTTGCCTTGTATTTCGGATCTAAGATGTTTTTGAAGTGGGCGAGTTTATAAGTAAATGATGATAAAATTTTGGATTTATAGACGAAAAATTGTAGTAAGAATTTGGAAATGGGCGTGTTTGAAAAAAAATGACATCAAACTTTGGGTTTATAGAAAAGAATCACAACTTTGAATCAAAAACAAATGGAGGGAGACTTTAGGCTTTGAGGGGGGAACCTTTTGGGGGTAATGGACATATAATCACTATGTATTTTAAGCAAGAATGTTGGTTCATAAGAAAAAAACTTATCTACGATTCACAATGTCGCGAGTCTCACGATATTGATTTGGAAAAAGGTAAATATAACATCACTATGTATTTTGGCTCTAAGAGTGATATTAGAAGTGCGTGGACTTAGAAATAAATATGGGGTAAAACTTTGGATATATAGGCTATAACTCGTAGTAAACATTTGTAAGTGGGCGGATTTGAAAATAAAT